CCTTCAAGGATAAATTTTATGTAAACGTTGAATATTAGTGAATAAAATAGCATCTCGGGGTAGTACTCTTTTCCCTTGCAAAGGTAGGGTCTTTAATGAGACACCCTTGCTATTTTGAATAAATCATACGCATTCAGCCATATACAAGTTCGACCAAAACTTAAGCCTCCTAAGGGAGAAAATGCAAGAACCCACCAGACTCTTCTGGCCAAAACTTAAGACTCCTAGGGGTCTCTCTGGGAGTTGGTTTTTGGATGGTTTTGGAGGGAAAGACTTTGAAGGATTGTGTTTATATTTTAAAATGTGTTTTATATTTTTAAAATGTTTAAAAAATTATAGTAAATTAGAATATAAAATCATATTATGTTTTTAAAAAATTTTAAAATATCAAACACATTTCAAAATATCGACGTAACCCTTCAAAGCCTCCCCTTCCAAAAAACCTCCAAACAAATTTCACGTTTTTAAGAGATGGTTCTTATAATCTTATTTTTCTGGAATATTTCTATGAATGTATGATATAAAGTACATAAAAATAAATGCATAAAGTAAATAAGACAAGAATATATACTAGTTCCCCTTTTCACCCAAGGGTACATCTAGTCCCCTCACACTCCGTGAGATATTTTCACTATTGTTAGATATTTGTACAAATCTCACACTAAGACTTCTCCTACAATCTTCTAACAACAACCAAGAAGCAAACCACTTCCTTCATTTTTAACAACACCAATAATTATGGTGGAATCTTAATCACTTTGATTCAAAGGACTTTTCCAACAAATAGAAAAACAACATTTCCTAATTGAAACAACCTGTAATAAGTACAACACTATTTTACAGATAAAGAATCACCACACACTTGGTGAAAAATTACAGATAAATAAATAATGTGTAACAAACAGAATTTGCTTATTTGATAACTTTGTTTTCCCCTCATCCAAATTTTTCCTATTCTTGGGTACCTGAGTTTGGAAGTCAACAGGATCTCTATGATGAACGATATCAGTCTCGCCCCTACGACCTTAGTCCTTGCCATCATTGCCTTCTTTCTCAATGATTGAAATATGCGCCATCCTTCCTGTAAAAAGAAAATAAGTAAGTGAATATCAACCAAAAATAAATAGTAAGACTTTAAGAAGAATAATACCTTACCTAGGAAACTCATTAATATGGGATACTTTTTTTCGTATCTAACAAATACCTCACCCAGATATTATAAAATTTCTCTAAGAATTCCAACGACTCCCTTTTTTTCTCACTGACTTTGACTAGAAGAAATCTTGTGAGGAGAACTGTTCATCCGTCCAATAAAAGGGAAATCTATAGGAACAATTGTTCTTAAAGATATATTCAGGGCATCGGGTTCCACCTCTGACCCTTGCAAACTTATCCTTCCAACTATTATAATTTGAGGTATAAGGATAAAGCAAAGCCCGCCCTAGGATGACGCTCATATAAACCCACCCACCCTAGGATATACCTTTTGTCACATAAAAAGAGAATAAGATCCTAGAACTGGGTGTAATATTTAGACCCCGACAAAGGATCTTGAATCCTAAGACAAATGCCCAATTATTCAATTGTAGCTGGGAAGTGGCAATGTTTAGCACTCAGAATATAACAAAATTCAAAGATAGTAAAAGGGCTACTGACCCCAAAATCCTTAAAGACATCAGTATAGAAATAAAAGAACTCATTTTCCACCTTGTGGGGTCGCCACATGCAAACCTTTTCGCCTCAAACACAGAGTTCTAGAATGATGTTAGCTTCTCTATTAGTATTTGACAGCTCCAGGACCACTGGAAATGCTTCCACGTAATCATCTTCTAGACAAAAGGAATCCAAACCTAAAACTTTTTCATTGAAGGAGCTCAAGGGAGAGGTGGAAAGCTCCATGATGAATTCAACCAAACTTGAGGAAGAAGACACCAAATCATTGTCACTATCGCTAGAAAAACTCTCAGAAGAACCGAACGTCTCCTTCTCCACAATCTTCTAATCCATTTTCTCTGTTGTCCATTCTACAAATTTCAAGCATTAGTTTTATAAATCATTTTTCTTCAACATTTTTTGGGTTCTATGGATTTCCCAAACGCGTCATTCTCACAAATAAAAACCATAACTAAAAATAAAAAGGAGAAGAAAATAGTCAAGACATTACTTGTGACGGCTAGTCAAAGATGAGCAAGAAAGGATAAAGAAATTTGAAGAGGGGCGCTTGAGGATTATGTGTAAAAGAAAAAGCCTTGAATGGTTTAGAATGAGAATAGGTAATGCTTAATTAAAGACATGAGTGGCAGACAAGAATGCGGCCGCACTTAAGGCTAGTAGTCTGAGGATGCATAGTTAATGATGATGTGACTTCTATGTGAGTCCCAAGGAATAAGTAATAATTAACGCTAAACCTGTAGTAAAAGTAGTAAGGTCAAAAGAAATAAATAAAACCCCTATAAGATAGAGCACAACTCCGTATCCTTGCAAAGTGATGCATATATGTTACTCATAGATCGAAGATGGCTCACCTTCTAGTAGTTCATATTTAAGGGGACTATGTACGTTATGGTCTGCCCCTAAAGCATCTCGCTTTTTCATGTCTCATGCTTGAGGGACCGTGTACATTTTAGTTTTCCTCTAAAGCATTTAACCCCTTCAGATGTCATGCTTGAGAGACTGTGTATATTAGATATTTCACCTAAAGCATTTGGGTTAGACCCAAACTCGAGCGTAATATAACCTGCCCTAACTTAATTCATTTTCGAGAAAGGACCGAGGGGAATCACTCCTAATGGACCAGGCCAAGAAGGCCGCCTGAGGCCATATACAACTCATTTATAATTAATTCCATTATACAAGTACACAGAGCATTTGAGTCATTGAATAGCCATGAAAGGCCAACCTCGAACAAGGAAACATGTGCCTTATTTCTCTTTATTATTTTCAGCCAGACAAGGAGAATGTATCATAATGTAATAAGTTTGTCATAAACGACTCTACGTAGAAAAGACTTTATATAAACTAGTAATGACCAAACATATGAAACATACCTATAATACAACTCATACTCAGATAAACAATGTGAGTCTAACTAACCTAGCACCATTTAAATTATCAACTAGTGTACCCATATATATATATATATATATATATATATATATATATATATATATATATATATATATATATATATATATATATATATATATATATATATATATATATATATATATATATATATATATATATATATATATATATATATATATATATATATATATATATATATATATATATATATATATATATATATATATATATATATATATATAAAAGTTTAATTGGTATGCACTAACAGTGTAAAATAATTTTACACTCTCATTCAATAAAAATTTATCACTATGTTATGTCATACCATTAATTTAAAATTTACAATCTAATATGGCAGAATACATGAGGGTGATTGGTTGACAATGCAAAATAATTTTACTGCATACTAATTAAATTCTATAAACAATCTTTATAACATAAAAGATTTGAATACTAAAACTCACCAATTTAATAAAATTCAAAATCTTAATTTCGATTTTACAATGATACATAACCAAACATTAAATATTAAAAAGTTATTTTAGTGTTTTTAATTGTATTTTAGATTGAATTTTAAAAATTAATTGTATTTTTTTTTATTTTATACTTTATAAATTTATATATAAAATAGTTTTATTTTTAAGAAAATTCTAATGAGTGTTCCTAGGATTGAGACTTTCTTTAAAATCTTAAAATAACAATTTTTTTTTAAAAATATACGTATTTAATGCATAAAAATTGAAATGGTTAAAATATATATAGAATATTATTTTATTTGAAATAATCTCAATAAGGCATAACCTCACACATATATGGATAGTCGTCGGAAAACTTCACCAATATATCCAATGCTACCAATAAGGAGAAGAAGATTGATTTTCATTATATATTTTCTCTGATCTCAAATATAAATAACAATAAAAAAATTTAATAATTTTAATATATTTATTACATTCAATATCATTATTTTAAATATAACTACTTTTATCATATTTTTATGTTTTTATCAATTTTTAAAGCAAAAAGTAGAATTAAAATTAGAAAGAGGATAAGAATAAATATTTTAGACATGTTTTTTAAACGTGTTTTTCTTTTTAATAAAGTTATGAGTAATGTTAACTTGTGCCTTTGGGGCACATGTTAAGAACTAAATTAAGAAATATTATCTTGAAAATTGTGTATAAATTTTAATTAAAATATAAAATTAATTTTTAAATTATTTTTTCCAATACAAATTTACTATAAGTGATTTTCTTAACATGTGCCACAAGGACACAGGTTAACATTACCCTAAAGTTATTTATATATGAAATTTGAGGGAGTATAGTGCTCAATTTCCATACATATAAGTATAACGTCTGTAATTCACTCTTGTTTGACTAGTCAATTCATTTAAAAGAAATTAACAATCTTGTCTGTAATTCAAACATGAACCATGAATGAATCGGTTTCCTCTTTCATCATAAGTCTCATTTATCCTCCTAATTTCAACCAAATAATTACACAAATCCAATTCCATTGATTCTCCAAACATAACCAAACTTGACTACCATTAATTACTACCATAATTATGCAATTCCAATTTTCAACCACATCAATTTACTATAATTTTTGTCTTACTTCTCCAATTCTCAAAAAGAATCCCCATAATTTAATATTATTATTTATTCAAAATTTAAATCAAATTCTCAAAAAAATTACAATTATAATACTCCATTATTTTGTTTAAAAGAATGGAATTTTTTTTTTACATAATAATAGTAGTAGCTATATCATGTTCATAAAAAAATATACAATAGCATGTTCAAGTTTATGCCAATTTTCTCACAACACTCTTTCTTCATTCAACTTTTCAACCATTTTTCTCTCAAATTCTCATCAATGAAGAAAAACAACGACCTTTCACCTTCTCAATGATCTCACTAACTCTCATTTTCATCTTCGCCGTTTGTTTCACCATAACCACCGTCAACACCCTCGGTACCGCCTCCACAACCGCCATCACCTCCAACACCTCCACCATCTGCGGCATAGTCGCCGGGAAGCCTCACCAATACATCCAATGCTACCAAAACGGGAAACTCATTCCAATATTCCTCCCCAACGTTTCGTTCAAGTCTATCTCCGGTGGACGGAGCCTCCTCTGCGGCCTCCGTTCAAATGGCCTCAGCCTCCATTGTTGGGACACAACGACACCAACGTCTTTTCTCAGACCCAAAAGATTGTATCACAGTGAAAAGGTTCAGTTGAGTGATGTAGCTGTTGGTGTTGATCATGTTTGTGCTAGAGAGTTGCACTCTGGTGTGGTGAAGTGTTGGAGAGGCTATGGTGGAGTTGAGTTTCCTTCTCCGGATGAAAGTTTTCGGTTTCGAAGCGTTACTTGTGGTTATGGTTTTTGTTGTGGAATATTGAAGATGAGTAATAGAGTTTTTTGTTGGGGTGTAAATGGAAAAAACGGTGTTGAGAATTTCATTCAGAAACAGTTTGAGAATCTAACAATGTCAACATTGGTTTCTGGTGTTTCTCATGTCTGTGGTTTAACAACTCTTGACGGAGTTTTGGTTTGTAAAGGGAAGAAGAAGAAAAACAAGAACAATGATTCTGGTAAGCTAAATGTTCCTTTGAATTCTGGTTATGTTTTTTCAGGTCTTGCTTTAGGTGAAAACTTCACTTGTGCTATTAGAATCAAAAATGGGTTTGTTCAATGTTGGGGCGAAGATTTCGATAGCGATAATGATGTGATGAAAGGTGTTTCTTTTGAAACAATTGTTGCTGGTTTGGATTATGTTTGTGGTTTAACAACTAGGAATTTGTCTCTAATTTGTTGGGGTAACCCTAATTGGTATTCTAAGCCTCATTTGATTAGTGATGTTTATGTTCCATTGGGAATGATTCTTCCTAGTCCATGTGTTGTAAGTGATTCTTGTAACTCTTGTGGTGTGTATCCAAATTCTGATTTTTTATGTCATGGATTCGGAACTATTTGTTATCAATGTCAAACCGAGTTTCCGTTCGCCGTGCAACTGCCACCACCGATGATATTGCCTAAGAATCAAACTTCTGTTGATGATGAAGAAAAAGGCTTAAAGGGTTGGAAATTGATGACATTTCTGATTATTGGATCAGTTGGTGCTTTTGCAGGATTATGTACTATTCTTTATTTTCTTATGATTGGTGCAAGAAAATTGGTGAAGGTGAAAATCGATAATTCGGTTCAACCTACAAGTAGTGAATCTGATGATGCTTATGTTGATATAGCTCCAAGCCATAACAATGGAACAACAACAACAACAGCATTAAGATCTTTTTCGAGCAAACAACATAGCTCGAGTAGGTTAAGAAGTGGTTCATCTTCGAAGCAACTAGACAGAACCGAGAGTTTTGCGTTTTGGGAATTAGTTTCAGCTAGTGACAATTTCTCAGTTGAAAACAAAATTGGTGCTGGTAGTTTTGGATGTGTTTACAAAGGAAGGTTACTAGACGGCCGCGAAGTCGCCATTAAACGAGGCGATACAGCATCCGCCAAGAAGAAGAAATTCCAAGAGAAAGAAACATCTTTTGATTCTGAGATAACATTGTTATCTAGGCTTCACCACAAGCATTTGGTGAGACTAATTGGTTTCTGCGAAGAGAATGACGAAAGGCTTTTGGTTTACGAGTACATGAGCAACGGATCACTTCATGATCACTTGCATGATAAGAACAATGTCGAGAAAAACAGCAGCATTATGAATTCATGGAAAATGAGAATCAAAGTCGCATTAGACGCTGCAAGAGGGATCGAGTACATTCATAACTACGCGGTTCCGCCGATTATTCATAGAGACATTAAATCCTCAAACATACTTCTCGATTCAAAATGGAACGCTAGAGTTTCCGATTTTGGATTATCGTTAATCTTGCAAGAAACTGAACTAGAACTGATGTCGAATACGAAAGCGGTTGGAACCGTTGGTTACATAGATCCTGAGTACTATGTATCGAATGTTTTAACAACAAAAAGTGATGTTTATGGTTTAGGTGTTGTGATGTTGGAGCTTTTGACAGGTAAAAGAGCTGTGTTTAAAACCGATGACGGTTCGAGTCCTATCGGCGTGGTGGAGTATGCAGTAGCAAAGATAGGTTCAGGAGAGGTGTGGAATTTGTTGGATGATAGAGTTGGAATACCTGAAGTGAATGAAGTTGAATCTGTTGAGATTATGGCTTATACTGCTATGCATTGTGTGAATCTGGTGGGTAAAGAAAGGCCTAATATGGTTGATATTGTTGCTAATTTGGAAAGAGCTTTATCTTTTCTTGAGGGTAGTCCTGGTAGTTTTTCTATGTCTTCATTTTCTGCTACTCTTACATGACAAAAAAAGTTACCTGTCAATACATAAAAGAAATTCTTTTATTTTAATTTGTGATTTTTGTTTTGTGATGGACTGGTCCATCACGAACCTGAGACATTGAGAAGAACACGATCCCAGAGTCCCAAGTATTCTCCAACCGGCCAATTCGTATTGTTTTGATTGTTTTGTAATTTTTTTTGAATAAATTAATTTGGTAAATTCGTCTGTTAATATTTTCTTAAGTTAATTGATTATTGCTGGCCTAAGGAGCATGGAGCATGCAGAATTAAATAAGTGTTTATGGAAAATAAGTCAATAACCTGACAAATTAGAGATGGAGGGCACGTTGTGAGAATTTGATTTAAGTTCATTTTCAACGGAACCAGCTGCGTTCTTTCTTACACGCAATAGATTACTGATCTGTCCTACATTTTAGAACATTTAAATGGATTTGTTTCAGATTATACCCTATGAATATGATAATCTAATAGTTAGAGAACAAAAATTAAATAGAAACCTCGAATTAAATTAAAAGGACTGTGTCACTAAAGCCTATATTTAATATGTGTGAGTTTGAGTGTGAGTTTAATCATTAAACTCTTAAAAAATGCTTATGCTATGTTTGTTCTTAAGTTGGAACCACCTCATCAGAGGACATACCATGTTTAACAAGCCAATTCTCACATTCATTTTCCTGGCAAAGAATCATAAATGAATTGAATCAGCTTAGAAAATGTGTGCTGAATTCTATTAACGGTAAAATTTGTGATTCCTTAAAAATAGAAATAGAAGATTTGCATGAATTCCTAGACAAGTTAAACAAGGGTAGAGGTAATCTTGATGTTGATTTTATCTAGGCAAAGAATCACCTATAATAAAATCAGATTTTAGGTTATGAGCTTTAGATCATCAGTACTAAGAATTTCAATAATAATATTTGTAATATGAATAAGTCATTCAAGTGTAATGTGATTAAATTAAATATAATTATTGTAATAAAAATGGTCATGTTGCATTATTCTGTTTTGTTAGAAAAATCCATGGAAGTAATAATGTTGCATTAAAAAGAATATCGTAAAAGGAAAATGAAAAATATGTTTGTTTCATCTTATTTCGGTGATCATAATTTTAGTTGAAAATCTAGAAGTAAAATGTAATCTATTAACATAAAAGAATTAAAAAAATATTTGCTGGGAGATGGCAACAACAGGTTTTTTCATGCCTAGGTTAAATCGAGACAAACCAGTGGTGCTGTTACTGAGCTGTGTTTTGTGACAGGTGAAAGGATTACCAAGACTGAGGATATTGAGAATGAGGTGTTGTCCTTTTATGGCAGACTCATGGGATGTCCTAATAATGCCTTGGAAGGCATAAACCTGACTGCTATGAGAGATGACCCTCAAATTACCAGTGATCAGAAAGATATGTTGGTCTGCCCCCCCACTGAAGCTGAAATTCATAGTGCCCTACAAGACATTGGTGACCTGAAAGCCCCTGGTGTTGATGGTTTTGGGGGCAAATTTTTTCAAAGCTTCATGGAGTATCATAAAAAAGGATACCGTTGCTGCAGTGATGGATTTCTTCATCAATTTCAAGATGTACCATGATGTCAATTGTACTCTTGTATCCTTGATTCCTAAAGGTAATGGTGGGAACTGTGTGAAGGACTTTCGACCGATATCCTGTTGTACTACTCTCTACAAAATCATTTCAAAGATCTTGACCAGAAGGTTGAGCAAGGTTATTACCTGTATTGTCAGTCAAAGCCAAGCTGCCTTCATTCCTGGACAGAACATCCATGATCATATTTTATTAGCGTACGAGTTAATTCAAGGCTATAGCAGAAAGGGTGGTACTCCTAGATGTCTGTTACAGCTTGACATCCATAAAGCCTATGATACCCTGGACTGGTATGCTCTTGAGTGTATTCTCAAGGAATTTGGTTTCCCTCACAATTTCACCAAATGGATTATGCTGGCGGTGTCAACAGTGTCGTACAAGTTCAATGTTGCTGGCGGTGTCACTAGAAGCATGAAGGCGAAAAGGGGCCTTAGACAAGGTGACCCTATTTCCCCCTGCTGTTTGTTCTAACTATGGAGTATTTCCATAGGCTCTTGCACCAGTTAAGCAAAGTCCCTAACTACAACTTCCATGCTAAGTGTGAAAAGCTGCAGATTATTGATCTTAGCTTTGCGGATGATGTTCTTCTATTTACCCGTGGGGACAACAAATCTGTTCAGTTGCTTATGGACCAATTGCAAACATTCTCCCAATCCACTGGTTTGGTGGTTAACCCTGCTAAGTGTAGGGTGTACTTCGGGGGGGGGGGGGGGGGGGGTGAATGCTGAGACCAAAAGCGACATCTTGGCTTCTACGTCGTTTATGGAAGGGGATTTACCTTTTCGGTACCTGGGTGTTCCTCTCACTTGTAAACGGCTTGCTACGCATCATTATATGAGTTTGGTGGACAGAATTGTAAGTCGGATTCGTCATTGGAGTTCCAAGTTATTGAGCTATGCGGGAAGACTTCAGCTGATCAATAGCACCATTACTGCTATGGAAGCATACTGGATGAGTTACCTTCCCTTTCCCAAGCATGTGATTAAAACCATTAACTCTATTTGCAGGACATTTCTGTGGACAGGCAGCAAGGAGAAGTCGAGAAAATCCCCAATTGCGTGGAAAAAGGTCTGTAGGCCGTGGAGAAAGGGCGGTCTGGATGTGGTGGATTTATCATATTGGAACGCGACCTGTTTAACAAAGCTACTGTGGAACCTTTGCAACAAAAAGGATTCTCTTTGGGTGAAATGGATCCACGCGTTTTACTTCAAAACAATAGCTATTATGCAGATCCAGGAAAAACAGGGCATGTCTTGGATTGTAAAAGCTATTCTTAGACATAGAATTATCATTTATGGCATGGATGATTGGAACGGAATGACGGCGAAATACTCGGTGGGAAAGGTGTACCAGTACCTCAAGAAGGATGATCCTGATGTTGTGTGGAAGCACATGTTATCCAACAATATTGCTAGACCAAGAGCCCGTTTTACTATGTGGATGGCTTGCCACCGTCGACTTGCGACAAGAGGACGGCTCAAAAGACTTGGCCTTATGACTGATGACAGCTATAAGTTCTGCGACAAGGAGGAAACAATGGACCATCTTTTATTTGATTGTCCGCCGTTTAAAACCTGTTGGCAACAGATTCTGGTATGGTTGGGATATCAACACTTCCCTTGTGATTACAGTGAAGCACTTGAGTGGTTAATTGCACATTGTAAAGGGAAAGGCTGGAGGAAGTGCATTCTGCGTAGCTCTGTAGCGGAAACCATCCATGAAATTTGGAGGTATCGTAACAATGTCGTCTTTGGCAATACGGTGAATTTTTTTGGAGATTAGAGAGTTAGTCACTTCTACCCTTGCAAATAGAGGGTGGGTTAATACTAGTATGAGACGTCATATAGCTCAATTACTTTTAGAGTAGGTGGGTTTTTTGGTTGTTTTGTGGTTGGGGTCATTTATACCCTTGTATATTCCTCTTTTTGATTTATATAAAGTTCTTTATTCCAAAAAAAAAAATATTTGGGTATCAAAAATGAAGACTTAATTTTATTTTGTATGAAATTTTTGCAATAAAAAAAGTCTAATTGTAAAATTAGAAAAGGTTCTCCAAAATCCAAAGATTTTATGCCTATAGGAATATATGAGTCTAATTTATAAATTTTCATAAGAAATCTCAGTAAAGAGGTAATGAAATCCAGAGTTTTCTATCGTATCAAACGATTCAGAGAGCTTCAAAAGAAACAAAAGAGAATTTGATTTATTTACATTAGTAAAAAGGTAAGACACTTGTTAGGAAATAAACTCGGAAAAATCCTATTGTTTCTCTAACATGTGATAAACTATCACCTTCTTTTATTTTCATTATCTGTGTGATCAAGATTAGTTTTCTAAGAAAAGGGAAGTCATAAACTAGAATGAGGGAGGCTTCAAAAGCAATACAGACCCTAAACTTATTTCATACATAAAATAGTCGAAGAAGCTGAAAATCTCGCCTCCTAATCTATTAGACCTCAAAGCAAATAGGTTATGTGATGTCTTCAACCAAACAGGTTTAAAGAGCTTCAGTTACAGCAAACCTGTACAGATGTTTCCAAATTTTATAACGATGGTATATGCAAATCTCTAGTGCAAAGATGGGAGGTAATGACATATGAGGTATGTAAAATGTCAATTTTCTCACACCATTAAGCAATTTGTTAGTGTATGTGTTTTACCCTTCTCTGACACCCTGTACACTTATGAGGCCCCAAGTGATGTTGAAAATTTTGATATTGTATCTTCTACTCAATCTTTTATAGTTTGTATAATAATAGGACATAGATTCCCTCTAACTATGAATTTATGACTCTGAACTGAAAACTCATTCACTAAGTGGAAACTCATATTCTGATGCCAAGGAAATTTAACCTTTTAAAGTTGTCAAAGTATGATGTTGTGGTCACATGACCACTTGCCCACAACGCTGAGACTAAGTGGGTAACTAGAGTAGTTCAACATATGTTGGAGTTCTAAGGAAAGGGAAACACATGGATACCATATGATGAATTGATTACGAAAGTTCTAATGTATGTTGGCTTTGACCTAGATAAGGAAGAATTAGTTGAGAATTACACCGAAATTGGAAAACATAACTTGAGTCTAATGTTGATAAAAAAAATAGGAGGGACTACTAGTGCATAATGATCCTCCTAAAGCTGCAAGGTAAATCTCTCAACCTCCGTAACAAGAATCTCAGTAAGTAAGGTCTTAAAATCTAGAAGATTTTGATTATGAGATTTCTCATTATCCTTCTTCTGAAGATGTGCTCAATGTTATCCTGGGAAACACTCAAGAAAGAAACAAGGTGCATGAATAGGGTAACAAAAGGCATGAAAATAACTCAAGGACTCTAATTCAGATGACTGCTAAAATTGCTTTTGTTGCAAATCTCATGGCCAGCACCGGAGTACATATTC